ACCACCTCATTTTCCTCCTACAAAACAAACAATGATAACCCCTGATTCAAGGACAAGCCAAACCCTGAATGGATCATGTGCCGTTAAACTATCAGCAACAGCCAAGTCACCTGAGTTCTGCAGGTAGACTTTTAACTTACATCCAGCAAGGAATATGGGAATTGTGGTTCCATTTTTTAGGCTGCAAACATCACGCAAACTGACTGTGGAATTAAAAACCCCAGGAATAAATCTAAAATAGTCTGTTCTGTTGGAAAGGAAGGTTATCATCTCTCCTTTTGTATCCCGGGGTTAGTTTTTTTTCCTAGCTTAAACCACGATAGGAGAGAAAAACTAATCAATCAATCAATCTCCATTTCTACAAATAGAAAGTAATTAAAATGAATCCTGGCTTATTCACATCCCATATTAAAATTTAAAAACTGTGAGGTTAAGTACACGAACCAGGGATACAAAAAAAGAATAATTCCAAATTATGCAGCTCATCTCCCATAACACTCCACCCCCAAGGCTCAAATGTAGACCCTCAAATAAATCCAGTGGCCGTGAGTTCCACCAACCCTCAGCAGGAAAACACACCTAAGGCAGCAAAAGGGCTCCAGCACCTCATCCCCTGCTAGAGTGAAAGTGACTCCAGGAGTTAGTTTGGCGGCAACATTCCACCTCTCCCCCTCCGGGGATGATGGGCACTGTAGTCCAGCAGCCCGGGAGATACACAATTGGAGAGTCCCTGGGGTCTTTCTCCAAAGAGTAACAGGGATTTGGGTCGGGGGGGGGGGGCGTCAGTTGGTGGAGATAATCTGGCTACCTCTCTCCTCTTCCTCCCCTCTGGGGATGATGGGCCCTGTAGTCCAGCACACCAGGAGATACACAATTGAATTGGAGAGTCCCTGGGGTCTTTCTCCAAAGAGGAACAGGGATTGAGGGGAGGGGTCATTTGGTGGAGATAGTCTGCCTCCCTCTCTCCTCTTCCTCCCCTCTGGGGATGATGGGCTCTGTAGTCCAGCACAATAGGAGATACACAATTGAATTGGAGAGTCCCTGGGGTCTTTCTCCAAAGAGGAACAGGGATTGAGGGGAGGGGTCATTTGGTGGAGATAGTCTGGCTCCCTCTCTCCTCTTCCTCCCCTCTGGGGATGATGGGCCCTGTAGTCCAGCACAACAGGAGATATACCCTATTAGAGAATCCCTGGGGTCTTTCTCTAAAGAACAGGGAAGGGGGTCTAGTCGGTGTCCCGAGAGACCCCCAAACCAGCTCCTTGGACTTACTGGACCAGGACTCCCGTGACCATCCCCCTCTGCGGCTGGGGAGCATGGGACTTGGGGGTCCAAGCCCACCTTTTTTGGGGGGGGAGGGTGTAATTAAGAGTTGAAGGCTCCCTTAGGACCCTACTCCCCTTCTCCCCAAAAGGGGTCAGAGGGCCGGTCCACACTCCACCCCCTCCCCGCCTCCCCCCCGCCGCCCTGCGGGACGCTCCGCGACTCACCGGCGGCGCCAACTCCGCGCAGTCCCGCAAGTGCCTGGACGTTCCAAAGGGGCGTGGCCCGGGCCCTCAAAGGAGGAAGGAAGGAAGGAACCCGCTGTTGCCCCCGGCCAATGGGATCCTCGGCCTGGCCTTCGAAAGGGGAGGGTTGTCCCGACCGCTCGGCCAATGGGAGGGCGTCCTTCCCCCCCACAAGCGTTCGAAAGGGGAGGAGCGGCGAGGGCGAAATTTCATTTCATTTTTATTTTTTTTAAAGGCCAAGGTTCGAAAGGGGCGGGACCCGAAGGGGGGGGAAATACCCCCCTCGCGATTGGCGGACAGACCAAGACGGACAGCAGGGGAACCAGCCAATGAGGAAAGCGCAATGCACTGGTGGGGGGGGGGAATTTGCTCAGCTGGGTTGAGCGTCACGTGCGAAAGGGGGGAGATCAACGCGTGTTGCAGCATGGGGTGGGGGGAGGGGAGTGAATCAGAGCCCCCTCCCCTCTTCCACAAAACCCCATTCCTGCCCCCGCCCCAGTTTACTACCTAGCTGGAGTTACAGGAGTTAAAATGCAATACACACATCCAGACACACGACCCAACCCAGATTAAAGGCTGTGTTCAGACAACCCCTGTGTTGACCCAGGGCAGCCTCTGGATCCCGTCTTGGCTTTTAAACCTTGCTTCTCCCTCTTTGCAAGCAATAATCCTCGACTTAGGACCGCCATAACTCTTTATCTCCCTCCCCACTCCCGTCGCTAAGTGAGATATTTGCTTTTGGCCCCGTTTTACGACCTTTCCAAAAAGGGAACAGCTTGCAAGAGGGTGGAGTTAAGTCACCCAGTCGTTAAGCGAAGCTGGCTTGCCCCGCTGACTTGGCTTAGCCAAAGACGGTCGTAAAAGTGGATCATGGAAGCCCCGGGGGAAACGCGGAGACCGTCGTAAACACGAGTCGGCATCCAAATCTAAAATCCCAGGGTCACGGTGGGAATGCAAGAACGGCCGCAAAGGGGTGGGGGGCGAAACAGCCACACATCTCTCTTTCCGGCGCCGTCGGAACATAGGAATGGTGTAGGGTCTCCCTATGTGGGGGGGGGGGGGCTGGACTAGATGACCTCCAAGGTCCCCTTCCAACTCAATTATTCTATGTTCAACGGGAGAGCTTGCTTTTTGGAAGTTGCGGGAGGTTCATTCCTGGAGGCTTTCAAGAAGAGACTGGACTGCCCTCGGTCAGCAATAAGCTCTCCTGCTTGGGCGGAGGGGTTGGACTAAATGACCTCCAAGGCCCCTTCCAACTCTGTTAATCTGTAAGATGTAAATAATATCCCAACCAGTCAAACACTGAGTGAGTTCAAAGACTGTGTATCCCGAAAATAAGACCCTGTCTTATATCTATGTCTCTCTCTCTCTCTCTCTATATATATATATCTATATATCTACCTATCTACATATCTATATATCTATATATATATTTATATATATCTACCAAAAAAGGCACACCAGGTCTTATTTTGGGGGGATGCCACCCACTGACTAATCTCACTTGTGCGCATCGTCCCCGGCCTCCATTTCACTGTCTATGGCCAATAACAGAATTCTGGATCGATCCAGAGCTTTCTCAGCGGCTCCAGAGACCTCCAGGAAAACCTTGCCGGCTACAGAAGAAACGGGTTGGCCAAGCAGGTGTCGGGGTGTGCAAGGCCTGGCTACACCTGTCCAAAGGTAAGTAGCAAGGCAGCTCCACCCACCCACCCATTCTCCACCCTAGGTTAATCTTTACCCGTCTACTCTGGACTGGGTGGGGTCTTAATTAGGGCTTATTTTTGGAGGGGGGGGATAGGGCTTATATCGGGCGCACGTGTAAAAAAAAAAAATCAAGTTAGGACTTATTTTCAGGGGACTAATGCACCCATTTTTGCAAAAGTGGGAAGCCAGCAACCGTTCAATCACAAGCTGACTTTGAAATTCCCGTTTTCTCCCAAATGCACCCTAGTTTTCTTTTTTTTTTAAATAAGCAAAACAAAACGCTACATTAAAATAATAAGAGACCGTCCTAAAAAGCCAGGTGTAAGAGAAATTGGAATTTTGGAGGTAATTACCCTTTGCCAAACAAACAGGATTTATATCCAGAGCGTTGTGACCTGGGAGGGGAAAAAAAAAATAAAACCTTAAGTGTGCAAACACACACTTCCTTGACAAACTTTGCTATTTTCTTTTCTTTCTTTTTTTGAATGAGCTTACGGGCAACATTTATTGTTCGGTGGCCTTTATTTTTAAGCTCTTTCCATTGGCCGAAGGGCTCGTGCGTCGGTTCCTGGAAAGGCCCTTTTCAGGATATGGAAGATCCTGCCTAGAGAAACGAGTTTTCAAATTAAATAAAAAAAAATCAAATGAAATAAAAGCAACTTCCTTGTTGGAGGACGAAACCGGCATATGGTTCGGCCTTCGCTTCCCCAACGTTGCAAAACGAGGAGGACCAAAGATCCAGGGAACGAAGGGTTAAATTTTTATTTTTTTTGTTTTTGCCAGGGCTGCAAATTTCACCCCAAAAAGAAAGTGTGTTTTTTGGGGGGTGAGTAGGGAGGGGGGAATTCCTCAGAAGACAAAAATCTCTGCGCCTGGCAAATATTTGCAGAGTTAAAAACTTTTTTTTTTTGCAGCTCGGTGGTGGATTTATGCTTGGTTCTCTACGCTACGGCATACCAGTAAATGTATTTATTTATTTTTGTCCATTTATTTATTTATTTTGGCTTCCCGGGATCCCTGCGAAAGGGACCAGTTTGCGGAGTTTGAATCGGAGTTTGATCCAGCTTTCAGTTGCATCGTTTGATCTGACATTATTCTGGACGCCGGGATCTGGTTTAACTGGAAGGACTGAATGCTGGAAGCTATGCGGAGATTAACCTAACAAAAAAAATATATCAGATTTTTCTTTTAAAAAACCTTCAGAAATTGTGGGTGCTCCATTGCTGCAGGTTTTTAAAGAAGAGACCGGACAATCCCTAGTCTGTTTGAGAAGGAGGCTGGACTAGAAGACCTCCAAGGTCCCTTGCAGCTTTGTTATTCTGCTATTCTTCTTCCTTCCTCCCTCCTTCTCCCTTCCTTCTTTTTCTTTTTCCCTTCTCCTCTTTCCTTCTTTCTCTCCCTCCTATCTTTCTCTGTTTCTCTTCCCCTCGACTTCCTTCCTGCTTGCCTTCCTTTTCGTTTTCCTTCCTTCTTCCTCCCTCTTTCTCCCTTCCTTCCTTTTCTTTTTCCCTTCTCCTCTTTCCCTCTTTCTCTCCTCCCTCCTTCCTTCCCTCTCTCCCCCCTCCTACCTTTCTGTTTCCACTCTACTTCCTTCCTTCTCTCCTTCCTTCCTTCCTTCCTTCCCTTCCCTTCCCTTCCCTTCCCTTCCCTTCCCTCCTTCCTCCCTCCCTCCCTCCCTTCTCCATCACTGGAGGCTTTGAAGAAGAGACTGGACTGCCACTTGTCCGAAAATGGTATAGGGTTTCCTGCTTCAACCAGGGGGTTGGACTAGGAGACCTCTAAGGTCCCTTCCATCTCTGTCCGGCTCTATTCTGATTCCAATTCCGAAAAATCTGGAGGGGCGCCCCTCTTTTCACAACATGGATTTTGACAGCACGAACCTTTATGAGATTCTCCTCGACGGAGAGGAGGATCTGGACTCCGGACACGGCCACCTTGCTGGAAACTCCGGCATCCACACCCTCCTTCAAGACCATCCCTACGGCCGCCTTCCAAATAAACCCGAGGACTGTCCAGCCGTCCAGCTCCAGGTAAGGCCCCAAATCTCGCAGAAAGACCTTGATGGACAACACTCGTTTAGCAACGGTTTGCAGTTACACAGGGTGTGTGTGGAATACTCGTATTTACGATGCAGCCAAAACCCAAAACCAAAACTCATCCGTTGCTTTGTACCTGTTTTGCGTCCCTCGCTCAGCGTCTTCCCGACGATGACCCGGAAGGCCTTTTCCAACTTCGGATCGACCCCAACGAGGTCTACCATCCCAGGAGCTCGGAGACCGCCGGCGACGTTTCCCCGAGACCCCGCCGAGACCCCCTTCCTCCCGGCCCATCGCCCACCGTCGTCCTGGAAGTTGTCTGCGACCCGGGAAACTGGGAAGACCCCAACCTTCTTGGTAAGCATCCGGGGGGGGGGGATTCAAAAACTCAGAGCCGCCGGTTCGCTCCCCGGTGTCAACTTCTAAAATATTTCTGTGGTCTGTTTAGAGTGGCCAACAGAAAGGGAAGGGGGAGCAGTCTGGCAGCTTGGAAATCGAAAGTGCATTCCATCCATGTTTTCGAAGATAGTTAACTAGGGGACTGAAGTATCTGCGCGCGAATATCTAATTGGAGAGAATATGATGGATGACTCCGGGCTATGGAGGTGTCCCGTTGGAGAATAGGAATTAGGATACACCCAGGGGGGTGGAGGGGAAAACCAGGGTCAAAGGTGACAATGAATTATGTGTCTGTAGAGTCGGCTGCACCCAGGCAGTGCCGGCATGTTTACTCTCAATAAATCCTTTTTAAGTCTTGGAAGTTTGGCTCGAGACTCGCGGTTTAATTGGGAGGGGGGGACTGTCAGAATCCTGACAACATGACTGTCCCCTTTTTTGGGGTGCCACCACTGTCCCTTTGAACAGTCACTAAACAGACTGTCATAAGTCGAGGACTGCCTGTACAATTATTATTTTTAACGGGGGGGTGGTTCTGTCATAGAAGCGGCCATTAGAACTAAGGTTAAATTGCACCCAAAGGAATCTGAAGCGGAGAATCAGAATTTTACAGCCGAACCGTCACTTTCTCCCCAAATTTAATCACAAGACCAACGTGGTTGATATTTTTTTGCTGGGGGGGGTCTTTTTCCAGGAGCCCACCCGCCCACCTGCATTGCAAGCCAAGCCTCGCCAGGTTTCTTGGAGGGGGCGGCCCATTTAAACGCGGCCGAGGTTCCCACGGAGGAGGTAAGATACGAAAAAATGAGGGGGGGGGAAATAAAAATTTTAATTTGGAACATTAATAAAGTTTTGTTTTTAATTTTTTTTAAAAAAATCAAATATTCTGGAATACAAAGCACTCGTCTAGTCCAGTCACGGGTGATTTGATGGGAACACCAGTGGGGTTAAGAGATGTTATTTGAGATTCACACACACACACACACACACACACACACACACACACACACAAACACCTTTTGCACCTGGAAACTCCTGCCAAAAGTTTAGCATTTCTCCAACTTGGCCAACTTTAAGGCAGGGGAACTTCAACTCCCAGAATGCCTCAGGTGGAAAGAAAAAATGCAGCAGCCAATCAGGGTACGTGGCGGGGTCTCTCTCTCTCTCTCTCTCTCTCTCTCTCTCTCTCTCTCTCTCTCTCTCTCTCTGTGTATGTGTGTGTGTGTGTGTGTGTGTGTGTCACTATGGACTTGTGCAACGGAGGAGCCGTTCTTTCCTTCCAGCTCGATCTCCCGGAGGACTCTGTAAAGCACCCCATTTAATTGTGGGGCTGGGGGTTTCTTTTAAAAACAAAAAAACAAACAAACTTTGGACAGGTCTCGAAAACTTTTTTTTCCCAGGCTTGGGAAGGGTCACGTGACGCTCCGCAGCCAATGGCCGACCGCGAAGCTTTCCCCCTATTGGTGCGAGCGATCGGCCCTGCAATGCCTTCGCTTCGCCACCAGGGGGCCCACCATCACCCGGGTTACTTTCAGTTTCGTTTTTGAAAACTTTTTTTTTTTTAATGGCTGGGGAAAGGTTTTTTTTCTGCACATGGACAGAAACCCTCTCGCCAGGGCCCCCAACAGAAAGAAAATCCTGGAAATGGGAGACCCCAGGGCTTTTCTCCTCCTCCCCGTCCCCATCTTCACCCCCCCCCCCCCCACCTGCTGCCCCCGCCACGAAAAAAATCCCCAGAACGTGATAGGAAAAAGGGGTCCTTCTTTCTCCGCTCATCATTTTCCCCCTCCCATAATCCTTCCAGCCCCCTGCCCTGTTCTTGACAGAGGACGAGAGGAGTCTGCTAAGCCAGGAGGGCGTCTTGCTGCGCGATGCCGTACACCTTTCCCAGGTGGGTACCTGGGCAAAGGGACACCGCCCCCTCCGGCCCGGGAAATGAGGATCAGACAGGACCCTCAGCCCCGTTGCTCTCCATCCCTTCCCTGCAGGCGGAAGAGCAGATCCTGAAGAAAATACGGAGGAAGATTCGAAACAAGCAATCTGCCCAGGACAGCCGTCGACGCAAGAAGGAATATTTGGATGGTCTGGAGACCCGGTAAGACGGGCTGGAACTCATGATAGGTAGGTAGGTAGGTAGGTAGGTAGGTAGGTAGATAGATAGATAGATAGATAGATAGATAGATAGATAGAGATAGAGATAGAGATACTCGTTTTCTTAAGTTTTCGCGGGTACTTACATATATGGCATTCAGCTTTGTTCGGGTATTTTCCCACGTCATTGTAGTTGTGCTTTTAAAGTTGTAGTTGTAGTCCTATTGTTAGTATCTTAATTATTTTAATTTTTAAATACTCTGTAGTGGGATTGTGATGCTGTGTTTGGGGACACAGCCGCTAGGATGCTGTGATGGGAACTGTAGTCCGGGAAACTCGCGGAGCTGGGAAGGCGAAGCCATGTTGGCTTGTCTGTTTCCTCGAACAGGGTGGCCGCCTGCTCGGCGCAGAACCAGGATCTGAAGAGGAAAGTCCAGCTCTTGGAGAAGCGCAAAGAGTGAGTGGAAGGGGGGACTGGTTTGCCCCTCCTGGATTTTGGTCCGGTCTTGGCTGGCGCCCAAGACCCCCAAGAGGCTGACTGGGGGAGGGGGCGGGGGTCCCATCAGGAGCAACGTTTCTGCTTTCAGAAGACAACTTGGAAGGGGCTCCCTGGAAGCCCAAGATGAGGGTCTCAGGTCAAGGCACGTCTTTCGTAGCCTCTGATCTTGGACCGGTAGACTGTTCCTGGAGGGGGAGGTTTCCTTTAGTCGAGGCCTTCAAGGAGGAAGTCCATTGTATTCTATCATGCGTGCCATTAAAATAATCTGCGTTTGTGGCAATGGATTTCTCCTTTCCTTCTTTCTTTCTTTCTTTCTTTCTTTCTTTCTTTCTTTCTTTCTTTC